CCATTCTTCTCACAATTTTCCCCACCAGTCGTTGTGATCGGAGCAACGCATCTTAGCGGGCCAGTGGCAACCTGGAATGGACGCTCGCTGGGGGAACGGAAGATTCCAGGGACAAAGTTGGGCATATATTATAGCGCATATGGAATGGCATTGACTGCTCAAAGCATAGTTGACTTTTATGAATGAGTCTGATGAGGTTGATGTGGAACGAAGTCAATCAACTGCTACGGGATGTTCCGCAGCAGGCAATCAAGAAGTGTTGGCGGGTGGGTCAAAGTCCGTCGGGATATTCGACAAAATCAGTCATTTGAGAATTAAGGTGAGTGTAAAGAGGGTAAAATCTCTGTCGTAGGTATTTTAGTTTCCGCTTTTCATTCAAGTTATTATTATTTAGTTAATTTTTCTGGTATGCGCGATATGTGTGTGAGGCATCCCACCGCCTGTAAGGGTGGAGGCACGCGTTGTGCTATGTATGAATGTATGTGATGTTGTATGGATTGATGGTAAGAGGAACCCCCGAGCGGTTGGGTCACTACTGGACGGCGAGATGTAACATAGTAATTGACGGGCATGGACTGGACGGCGAGACGTAACGCAGTGCCATTGCCAAGTTTGGGTATTCAACCAAATGGCGAGACGTAACGCGGTTGGCATACTAGGGTAGGGACACCGGGCAGCGAGACATAACGCGGTGGTTCCTTGTGTTGGCACCTTTGGATTAAGAATATAAGTAAGGGAATTCTAAAGATAAGATCGGAGTAGAGATCTCTTATAGACTGTTGGATAGTGAAGTTTAAAGGATGAAAGTGAGAACGACTTTCGTCTAAGAAAGGAAACCCACTACTAATGTGTTAGTAAGGGTTTGATTAGGGCAAGACCTTAGGAAGTAACGATGAGACTGATGCCTTCTCACTCACCAGGTCAAGGAATGGTTAGCTGAGGCAGATATCGAGAAGAGGTAAGGCGAGGCGAGTAGTTGCACCAGCATTGAGGAGAAGTTAAGGAACTCGTGAAGAGTCAGAGCTAGAATAGTTTAATTCCTTTGTTACATTGTTAGGAGTGTAAACTGGAGATTCTGAGTTCATTCATTTTAAGTATCGGGATTGTCATTTGTCCAAGTGTTCAGGCTTTTTGTTTGAAATTCTTAAACATTGTCGGTTTGGTTTATTTTAAAAAGTGGTTCGGTTGCTCCGGAGTAACCGGGTTTGGTTTGTGTTGTGGTTTGGTTTTTGAGAAGACCAAATTATTTTTCCAATTTGATGCTTTTCCCCTCATTTTTATTCATTGTATAGTTTTCCCCATTCCTTTATTCATCATGTCGTGTTTTCCATCATTTTTACACCAATATCTTCCCTTTCAAATGATTTTTATGGACAATGGCCAAGATTCCCCCATTACGTAGTTTTCTCAATCCTCTTTTTATTCATTATATTGTTTTATATACCATTCTTTTTTCTTTTACATTTTTTGTTTCTACATGTTTGGCTGTGTCTGCTCTCACTGATAATTTGCTTGGCGACTAGCCCACATTTTTTTCTTCTATTGTATTTTTTCTATTGTATTGTTTCTACATGACTTTCTTGCCCCTCCGATGATTATCCTAGTGATTGATCAATGTTTGTTTCATTATGTCGTTTTCCCTTTTTATTTATAATTCGTCGCTTCTACACATGTTTCTTCCTCTTTCAATGATTTGATTTACGAATGGTCAGACTAGGTTAAAGATGAATCTTTGCAATGTCAGAGTTGCCTTTGAAATCAACGGGGAGGGGGAGAATTGAAGCATGGACTAGAGATGATTTTCCCCATCATTGTTTGTTTTATCATTTCTACACAAGTTTCCCCCCTCTAGTGATTTGCTTTGCGACTGACGGTATTATCCTCCGAAGGTTACATCCTTGGTACAGCGACGATGAAGAATGCACAAGAAGCATATCCATTGACACATCGCCTTCGGCTTGATATTTGCTTCAAGAACCACATTTTAAACCACCTTCTCAATCTTATAACATTAGGTTTTAAATATATTAATAAATAAAATCAAATGAATTTATGAATCGATTAATTTATAGGAGAAAATAGAAGGAAATGAAGTAGGCAAGAGTAGACGTAGTTTGCTGCGACACTAAATTCTTCGTTAAACTCTACGCAGGTGCAGAGCATTCACATGCCACTTGGAGATAGCCATGGAGGGGGCAACATTCCATCGGGGAAAAAGTCATGGTGAGTAGGGATGGCAGTGGGACGGGTTTGGGGCGGGTTTGCCTAAACCATCCCCATTCCTGTTTTCAAATACCCAAATCCATATCTGTGTGGGGGAGTGTTTTGCAAACCCATCCCCATACCCGTGGGTTTCGGGTACCCATGGGTAATACACGCCCCGTACATCCAACATTATACCTAAAATTTTACAAGAAATTTTTTAATTATAACACTAAACTTGATAGACCATTGATTGCACATGTTTTTACCCCTATTCTTGAGCTGTTTGAGATGTTGATTCTCGTGTTTTAAGCCGATTTCACGCTAGGTTGTGCGTTTATGTCATATTTCAGGGCTTAGCGTGGGCATCAAGGCGAAGAAACGAGTTTTGGGTCGAAATGAGCACGTTTGGGTTGCAGTGTGCTGGAGGAGCAAAATACCCGACCATGAGCAGAAATACCCGGCCGGGTATTATTTGTAGCACACCGGGGAATTTATGTTTCCGGCATTTGAGAAGCAGAAGGGGCCCCGGGTAATAAGCAGAAATACCCGGTCGGGTATTCTTGGCCTTGACCGGGGATTTTCCCCTGTTCCCCGACGGTGCGTTTTGATAATACTCGGTCGCCGCCTAAAATACCCGATCGGGTATTCAGGCCGGGGATCGCGACAGTCAACCTCTTAAGGGAAAAGAAGAGCAAAAGAGAAGGGTTCCGAGTTTTAGAGAGAAAAAGCGATACCTAGAGAGAGAAAGTGACGAACCTGATTCTGCAAGTGTCCTTGACCGATCTCCATCACCATTGGAGCACGGCTTGAGCTTGGAAAGAGCTGCTTGAGTGCCAGAAGCAGATTCTCATCCTTCACAATATGGTTTCCGCATCTGAGCTAGATTTCCCATCTATCTCTCGCTATGGAGTAACTTTCTTATTCAACTGGGTATGAAGAGCCCTAGATTTATATGCTAGGTCTGATTGTATGAACCCAAGTACAGATTCTGTGATATAATTATATTCAAATGAGGTTTGATTTATTGAATGGTATGAATCCTGATCAAATTCCTATTGTTTCTGCTTTAACCTAGAAAGAGAATATCTGCCTACACCCTTGATTGAAGGTAGTGAATTGACGACTTTAGTCGAGGAGTCAATTCACTATTCTGTACCGAATTTGCTTCGGTAGTGGAGGTTTGGTTCGTTAGGGCCTCAGTCTGTTTACTCCGGTGGAGGTTAGTCGCTCGCTGGGGACTCAGATTGAGAGGGTATGGAGACCTTTAGTCGAGACTGCAGACTGTTTAAGAACCTCCCGCAGTATAACTATCATTGAACTTGAACTTGGTAAATTACAATTCAGCTTAACTGCAGTCTAGGGGGAACCATATCCGAGTGACCTCTCTCGACTTGAAAACAACCTTTTTACTTGCTTTGCTTGTTTGCTTGTTTGGACCTTCACTAAAGTTTCACTGCTAAATAATAAGAACTCACGGATTAGTCATCACATCTAGGACCCGGGTTGACATTAAAATCCAAACCCGCTATACTATGCTTTAGGAGGGGGTTACACTTGGCCATTTTCTAGAGTGACGGTAGAAGCGAGTCAGTACTTGAGGAAGTTTTTGTTTTTTCTTAACAAAATTGCTCAAAGCCTACGCCTATTTCAATCCAGTCAAAGATATTATGCCAATACCGATGATGATACCTTGCTTCTTTTAGGCATACTATTTACTATTTAGCACAAACAATTCATATGGTTAAAAAAATTCCCCATCAAATTTTATTTAATTACTTTCTCAATTAAAAACGACAACGTTTCTCCAATCCCTCGTAACCATTTATGGAATCTTACAAACTTAATATAATGCCTTATTCTTCCTACTTCCTTTCACCTTTCCATGACAACATATGAACATGAAATCAATTAGATTTCTTAAGTCCTCCTTTATCCTTTTTGACAACATCATCGTCATAGAACCGAAAAATCTTCACACGAGTTCCAAGGATCACCATTTTTAGTCATCTTCTTCTCCATCTTTTCTCTCAATTTCAAGTAGGACGATTCGAAACATGCAAGCTCATTCATTTCCACTTCCATCATATTTTGATTCCATCAACTATTTTTAGTGTCTTCCCCTCCAGGGGTGGAGCTAGGATTTGTTACTGGGGGGGGGGGGGGGGGGGGGGGGGGGGGGGGGGGGGGGGGGGGCTGATTTTTTTTTTTTTTGCGTATTGTCAATACAAAAATTAAATGTATAAAATGAAGGAAAAAATTATTTCTTTGTCATAAATTCATAATCACATAAAAATATTTAGAAAAGTTAAAAGATCTAAACATATGCTATAAACTAAATTTTTTATCCATGACATGTTTAAAATAAATAGTAAATGACAAGCAAAAATGTATTCATACTTTTCAATTTGCGCCATGTTATTCGTTGTTATTATCATTGAAAAATTAATGTATATGCATATTAGCATTTTCAAAAAGAAAAATGGTTATATATTCATAGTTATTCTTAACAATGTGAATTCATAACTTATAAGCAATTAGGTTAGGGGATCTAAAAAGCCGAAGTATGAAAATTAAGTAATTAGCTTTGTCAAATTTTAACCAAAAAATATTCTTAAAATGTTAATTATCTAGTTTGAACTTTGAAATTAGGGTGTAAAATACAATTAAACTAAAGTGAGAAAAAGTAACTGAAATGTTGCTGGTGGGAATCGAACCCACGTACCACAACACAACAACAAAAATAGTAAAATACACAACACCCAGTAACCCACACAACAATCACCTAGACCAGAAGAGGCAACCAAGGTTATTTATTGCATGACCATTTCTATATATCATTTATAAGTTTTACATAATTTTTGAATAATCCGATACGATTTACACGTGATCGTCAAATTCTGGGGGGCCGGGACCCCCCGAGCTTTAAGCTAGCTCCGCCCCTGTTCCCCTCGATCTTTTCCATCAATGTTATTCTTCATGCTTTCCCTTCTGCATCAACCCGAGGAGTCGATCATTAAGAGTTAGGTTTAGCTCTTGGATATTAACCTATCCACGCTTTTCTGAACCATAAGGTGGTTGAGGCTCCTATTGTTGTCAACTGCTAATACAAAGAAAGTGAAGCGAAATGAAGTACAGTGTGCACAGTTTGTTCACATTGCTATGTTTTAGGCTTTTAGCCGATTAAAGTTTTCGGTTGATGAGTATATATGATAAATTTAACCGTTCAACGAGAATTATAAAAAAAAAATTAAACGAAATAGCTTTTTTCTCCTATCCTATCTCTTGTGTCAAAATTAAGCTATGTGGCAAAAAGCAACTCAAAATTAATGATTCCTTCATAGCGCACATAAGATAGGCGAAAGAACTCTCCCAAGTCCCAAGCAGGGGGAATCCTATTCCCCTACACAAGCTCCCCAGCACAAGAATGGCACATTTGGATTCAGAAAAGTTAGATTGGTGGAGTTGCAGGCCATTGAAGGACCCAGCAGCAAACCCAGTGCGGCCTTTGAACTCCGCTCCTCCACTTTACAGCCCAATCCAAAGACTTTTGAGAACCCAATACCCTTCACCATCATCATCATCATCATCAACCAACTGTCATCAATCATCACACCCTCTCTACCCTCACTCACTCCCACGAACATTAAACAAAGGGCGAACAGGGAGGAAAAGTGAGGGTGGCTTCATCCAGCAAAGCAGAGGATTCGATAGCATGTGCAAGTTTGATTCTTCTTCATTCTCTCAACAGAATATCAGTAGCTAGCCAAAGCCAACCACATATCAGAATCGGAATCCATTAATATCCAAGCACCAAACTACAATCCATAAACCATCACCATCATCATCATTAGTTAATTATTAACTTAAAATACAACTGAATCGTCACGTTCACAAGGTCAAACAAATCCCACACCATCACACAAAAAGGGCAAACTAGCACTAATATTCACAAACAAACTTAGCACAACCAGATTTCTTGGATAACTGGGGAATCTTGGCCACCGATTAGGTTTTAGAACCGCCCGCTCTCCATAAAAAATAAAAGGAATCTTGGCCAGCTACTGTGGTTTCCTTGATAGTTGATATCCATCTCCCCTGTTCCTTGAGACAAAAGGGTCATAAAGTCCCCTGTATCTCGAGCCCACATCGCTGGCAGCTTGATGAAATGAGAGAGATCCCCACTTGTTATCCTATCCAAATGCTTGAAAAAGGGGTAAAGGTTGCAGACTTGCAGCAAAGGGATAGAAAGATGAATAGTTTTGGCAATGAGGGCTCCGAGGGATGGCTCTGGCTGCCTGCAGGACTCTGCAAAACTGATTATTCTTTCTTTCTTTCACAGCCAAGCCAACAGCAGTATCAACAGGGCAACACATAATTGAAGAAAGTGGTGGGGGTGATGATGGACACACAACATAACTCTATAAACAAAAACCAAAGGAAAAAAAAAAAAAAGAACAAAAGGGAATCCCAAAACCACATGCCATTGCCCCCTTTCCTCTGCCTTCCTGCACATGCTCTCTGTCTCCCACCCACTCAAACTCCCACAAGCACAATTAGCTGCTGCAAACTCACACTAGTTGATTAATTAACAAACCCTACAATTATCATGTCAGCCAAGCAAACCTAATTAAACAAACAACCTATACGTTCTTTCCTTTCTTAGGCATTATGAATCAATCTTCTGTTGTTGACAACCTCATCAATTGGATTGAGAGGCGGAGAGTGTGCACTGGAGATGCCTTGGACAGGTGATTAAGTGGTCATTGCTGAGGCCTGCAGCTTGCATGAACGAGTGGATTACGGTTGGACCCACGAGCCGGAACCCTCTCTTCTGCATGTCTTTGCTTATGCTCTCTGATTTGGAGGTCTTCACTGGGATCTTGTGGCTCCATCGGTACTGGGTTTGGATCGGCTTCTGGTTCACAAACCTCCATAGGTACTTGTCAAATGACCCGAATTCCTTCACAACCTGGCACGAGGTTAAGAAAAACTTTTAATCATGACACCTCTTTAGCATCTGATATCACTTTGGACCACAGTAGAAATGGACGATGCTCTGTTTTTTGTTTACGTTTTTGGCGATCAAGACAAAACAAAAAACTTCCATTTCCAGTTTGGAGAAAAATGGGGGGAAGGGAGGGTGGTTGCATTGATTGATTACCGCAAGGTTACAAAAGCAATAAAAGGGAGTAGTTGGAAATGGATAAAGGACACTATTCAGCCGAGAAAACTAATAAATGGGTTTTGTAGTCTTTACCTCAAGAATACGGCTAGAATTGTCAACAATCCCACGAACTTGGCAGATGTCGATGCCATACTCTGCGCTGATGGAGTTCATCTTCTTCTCATTGAACTTGGCCACAACTTGTGGATCGAATCCTGAAAACGCCTCCCTCAGTGATTCCCTTCTCTTCAGGACCGAAGTCCAATCAGACCCGACTTGTGCGCCCGTCAGGACTAGCAATTCCAGCAGCAGCCTGTAAAGTCCAAAGAAGTTTTTCAGGAAATGATTCATGAGATTATGTGATCGGTAGACTGGGATTGATCAAATTGCAAATGTGTTGGTTCATACAAATAATTTTGATGCAAAATTAAGTGAACTTACTTGTCGTCATGAACAGGGACGCCCCATTCCTGATCATGGTAGGCGACATAAATCGTATCCGAATTGGGAGTGATGAAGCTACACCTTTTGTCCTCGTCCGGCGACGAATCAACGACCGGCGGCGTGACCATGATCTTGGCCGATTTGGTCCTACCGTAATGCACAATCCTCATCTTCCTCTGTTCCTGCATAATGGCGACGTGTTCCCGCCTGGCAGCGGCTATGGTCCCCGGGGCCTCGACGATGAGGGAAGAGGCGAAGCTCAGAGACGAGGGTTCAAACGGATTCTGGGAACTTGTAGTCGTCGTCTTCCTGTCGAGGGTAAACGACGCCGCTTTGCGCAACATCCGGGGAGTCTTCGATGGCTTCTCGAAAATGGGAGCGAGGAGGCTTTGATTGTTGGAGTGATCATTGGTGGGTGATTTCTTGGGGCGAGGTGATGTGATTTTAGGGGTAGTGGGAGAAACGGGAGGGGACAGAGGCTGTGCCGATTTGGGTTTGGTTACATTGAGTGGCAAAATGGGAAGGGGAGATTTTGTGGTGGGAGCAGAGGTTTTTTTGAAGGAATTGCGCCTGTCCAAGGTGGGGACTTGGTTGGATTTGGGCTGGAGGACAGGGCGGCCGTCGATTTGGACGACTGGCGGAGTGGCGGTTCCGGTGGCGGCGTTGTGCTGCTGCAACTTTGATGAACACATTGTTGCTCTGGGTGCAGAGGAAGGTGAAATGAAGGATTTTGGATGGAGGTGTGAGTGCGATGAATGGGAGAGGAAGGGAATGGAGTTAAAGAGATTTGGAGTGGGATTGGGATTGGGGAGGAGGAGGGATGTGCTTTATAATGGGGAGATGGGAGGAGGGAAGTTGATAGAATATTTTGCTGTACAAGACAGAGGAAGGAAGGAAGCAGAGGAGGAAGAAGGGGACTAACCAATGCCTAACTGCCAGCACTTGCACACTTCCTCATGGATTGATGAATGGACCCTCATCCTTCCTTCCCACAATTTAGTAGTTTATAAATTTCGGTTAATTAATTTGGAAGGAGCTTGAAATCGTATAGGAAATTGTAAAATTAGCAATAGAATATTTGGTGCCGAAATAGTGGTTTAAGAGGGGAATAAGAATTTCATGACGTTAAAATTGCCTAACCGTTTAGGTTTTTATAGGAAATTCTTCGGATTGAAAGACCAATAAGATATGACTTCACAAAAATTGCTAATTTTCGAGTCTAGTAAAAAACACATAAGGTGTGAATGAATTATGCATTGTTGGTTTATTAGTGGTAGCAATGACAATCGTACGACAATTTGGAGTTGATTGGATGGGATGTCGGATTCACATGTATTCCTCTTCAATATAGAGCAATGTAGATGTGTCTATTGAATGTGTGTCAATATTTTTTTTCTTCGTCAAATTCACACAACAGTTTAACGTTTTAGCTACGACAGAGCACACATGGTATGTAAGCTAATATGGATCACGTGGGCTTGTACTGAGTATTGACCAGCTTTCAACATGTCGAGTGACGATTGATCTGTGTATGTTGAAGGGATGCCGACGGATCAGTCTTATTATAACGAGAACACTTGATCTTCTCTGATACGCACGAAATTGTTGTCTTATTTCTAAAAAAGTAATTGAGATTAAACCACGTAACGATAACCACATAACAACATGACTATTTCACGTTTTAGGGTGACCTCTCATTCCTACTCCGGATTTGTGCCCATTTGATGCTCACTAGGTACAAATATAGATGACTATTTTTTCGGGCAACACACAAGGATGGAGTGGCATCAGGTATGCAAGTTTGTGACTGCTAATCTTACCTTTTATAAGAATAAACACCATTACCAACTACCTAAAACAAAACAAGTCTTTCTCTTTTTCTTAATCTTAAGGTTAGCTCAAGGCTTGAATTAGTTGTTGATTGAAGCAGTGGGATTAGATAAGTGGTCCATTTTTAGCATTACTTGTTGTGTTGACCCCCTTTGGCATCTTGCTTGGAGCAGTTTTATGAGATAAAGAGTTGTAATAATAGTAATGGTCCCTATAACCCCCATTTTAGAGTGGCAAATGGCTGGCTGAATGGACCATCTTCACTCAACTCCAGGATTTAAAAATGGAAACCAAGAAACAAACCCACCTTCTCCTCCTGTTCTTGTTGGCTCAGAACTCGCAGACTTCATAATCATATAGTTGTCTTTTCTAGGGTACATTAATTGAAGCCCAAAACAAAGGGGTTTCTGTTCCTTTCTGGCATTGCTTAACAAAAAACCATTTAATTGCTGATTTAGTTTGTTTGTTGAATCTGAAATTAAGCGTTTTGAGTTTCGAAAATGTTTGAATTTACGATGGATTTGTAGTATTGTGGAATTGGAAGGATTTATTGTTTGTCTAGTTGATTTTTCTTTTATCATGAATATATAGCTTTTTGCACCATGAGCCCCAAAATTTTCTGTCATCAGCCAAATTGTTAACGAACAAACCATTTAGTTCCAATACCTCGAGTTTTTTAGAAAAGAGTTTGTTAAACTTTTATATCTTGCACGCTTCCTGAAACGAAAGCCTACATGCAGGTATTCAATTTGCAGAGGCTTTCTTTTTGTACCTGAGGTTGTCATAAGGATTTGAAACCATGACCCCTTGGTCTAAGACATTGATACCATAACATGTTAACAAACACACCACTTAGTCTCAATAACTCCAGTTGTTGGGAAAAAGTTTGTTAATTTTTTATCTGTTACACAAATCCCAAATAAAATGTAACATTTACAAATTCGTGGGATCCACGGATTAGAATCTAAAAAAATTCAAACACGAAGGCCCCAAGGATTTGTGTTCCAATTTGTTACACAACAAACAATGGAGTTGTTTAAATCCATAATGTTTGATATTTGAATGTCTTCACCACCCAAATCCCACAAGTAAACGATCCCAAAATTTCATGAAGTTTTTTTTGGTACACTTAGTGAAAAAAAATGTTGTACAAAATTTACACGTATATATACTTCTATTTCCACGTAATTTCACCAATCACTCACACAAATCAATTTATGTTCAAGCTTATAATATAATTTTCGCATAATCTCATATGTTCATCAAGCAATTTTTGTTTTACACAATCTTATCAACCAATGCACACAATTCCACTAACTATTCCTTATTGATTGCAATCACGCGCAGGAATGTGGATCCCATGCATATAGGTAGGGCTGAATCGAGAAATCCAGGATTTGTTGATGTCAAATCACCATCTTTGGTGTTTTTTTGCCCTCTCTCAAGTTGGTGTTAACACAGCACATGACCCTCTTGGAAGCTGTTATCACAATAGTAAGGGCAAATGGTCCATCATCCATGTGTTGCATGGAAATGAAAGCTTTTTCTTTGAGTTTGGTCCCAAATGCCATCATCCACAGTGGATGTTGTAGTCTAAAACCTAAACACATGATCTTGGTAAGGCTTAATCATGCAACTCCCACATTTCCATGTTCACTTAGCTAAAAGGTTAAAACTTTTAATTAATTTATGGCACTTCAAGAGTAACAGGCAGTTCGAGCTGAGTCTGAAAAATTTTCAGCACTGTATCTTCATCCTCTTCCTCATCGATTTCTCCATTTATGGATTATCTTTTTCTTCTTTTATCATTGACTTTAGCTTGAAATTATACATTTATGTTAATGAATAGAGGTGACAAAAGGATTGAATTCACGGATTATATTAAATGAATTGGATCAAATGAATTGGTAAATTGGATCAAGGATCCAAGTGACATCTAAATATTGAAGAAATATGTAAATTTTTAAAAGTTTAGTTTGCTGAAATATCATAATAAAAAGTTTTAGATACCAAAAACATAATTTTCCAATGATATTTTTTGTTTAAAAAATAAAATATACGCAATGAACTGTAATCTGCCAACTATCCATTAATTCACCAATCCAATCAATTTTGAATTAAATTAATTAAATTTAAACGGATTGAAGTAGTTAGATATTTAAATGAATGAATTATATTAGATTAATCGACTGAATGCAAAATTGCCACATCTAATTAGGTACCATCAATTTGAGCGGCGTTAAAGTCAAGAGCGTATTCCAGAGAACATGCAATGCAATCCGTTTCTGTATAATGTGTACGTGTTGGTTGCTTGTGTAAGGGAGCGTAAAAATTATAATATGGAATGTACGTACGTAGTAGAACGTTCAGCGTTGATTCCATTCCATATGCGCAGTGCAGATAAGACCATCGTGGGCTAGTTTTTGTGTTGGCGACTAAATGATATGATAGGTAAGTTTCGGAATCATCTTCGGAGAAAGAAACAGCTTCACGTTCTGTTCATCTCCACAAACCTCCATTATTGTTGTACGTACGAACCCAATACGACCGATCCATCCTGAGAGAGTTCCCAAAAACAAATTGTCTTTATATCAATACGTGTGTGTTGGAATTCCCATGTATATGAAATCTCTCTCTCTCTCTCTCTCTCTCTCTCGAAAGGAAGGAAGGAAGGAACTATCTATCTTCTTCCCGGGTCACGAGGGGAGAAAGAGAGAAGAGATTAATTGCAGAGCGGGCAACCTCAATTCTTCAGCAGGTTGAGCACATGCCCTCCAATTATACGGACATGGCTTCCTCCACCTTCCTTGCCTTGCGTGGGTGATATGTCTCCTTTCTTCTGCCTCACTACCAATTCAATAATATTAATCCTTCTCACATTATAGCTCTCATTGCTAGGAAGAATTAATAATGGAATAAAATAGGGGGTGTTTTTTTTCTTCCTCTCCAGTGAATATAAGATAGAGGTGGGTTTCGATATGGTGATTTTGATTGGTATTTATTGGGAAAGAAACAAAATTAATTAAAAAAATTAACATATTGAGAATAACTAAACTTGCAGACTGTGAATTTTGAAATGCATTATCGGACAAATCTTAAAGTTGTAAACAAATATTCGGACAACGAATGTGAAAATCGTGCCTGAATTTCGAATTCAACATTTAAAATACACATATCCAAATGCATGCTACTATCTGTTCTTGATTATCTTGATAGCGAATTCGTTAATGAAACAAACTAGCTAGTAAAAACAACCCGATCTAACCAAAATGAAAAAACATATATCGTTAAAATTCCATCATCATAATTAATGTAGTCAAAAGCGAGTTTCTACATAGAAACATTTTGGTGATATAGAAGCGTAAAATCGTAAGTTATTAAGTTTTAAACCGGAGTTTTTAACTACATAAGTTATAAAAACTGAGATTTTGTGTAGAAGCGTTTTAGTGACCGAGAAACGTAAAATCATAAGTTTTTAAGTTTTAAAACGCGATTTTGACTACATTGATCATAATAGAACCCACCACGAACAACAAGAGTAACAAACACAATCACTCAACATACAAAGAAAGGCCAACAGTACTGTACATCCTTTTGATCTGATGCAAGCCATGGGTATGGGGAAGTTACAGTGATCATGTAAGGAACACCTTCTCGTGATCATCAGAGGATCGGATGAACGTGTGCATACAGTATGGCGGTTTGGTCAGGATCAATGTCCTCTTCATCTCATGTGAATTCTTATCTAGCAGTAAACCAACGTACTGTTCTCTGTGGCTCGAGGAAAGCTATATATATATATATATATCATCCCCTCCAACAGAATTCTGTTACTTGCTAGCTAGCTACCTCCAATCCTCCATCGGACTGAAACGAAAGCGCTTATTTATTGTTACTTTGTTAGGTCACATGTTGGTGTGGAATAGAATGAATGAAGCCAAAACTCTCTACTCGCGTGATGTTTCTCGATATCGCCATCATTTCTGCTCTTCAGTAATCACTACTGGTGGTGGAACGCTTAATGATTATTGTTGACTGTGTTGATCAAGAGTAGAAGTGGCTGCCGGCAGGCGGCAGGTGAAAAATAGCGATTAGGATCTGATTTTGATACTATGGGAACATTATTATTATTATTAGTTATTATTATTAGAATTATTAATACGCAAGTTCCAAAAAAAATGGGCTACTGTTCATTACGGAATTTTCGAGGTAACTGTTCACTTAGGGTTAATGGTGAGCTGTATACGTTTTTTTGTGTAAGCCAATGTGTTCCTGTTTTAGGTGGGCCAAGTACT